CAGATATGCAAACAACTTTAACACCAAGACCAGGTGCAGTCAGTATTTCTTCACTTACTTGAGGCTTCGTTATTTACAATATACCTGATATTCAAAAGTTCCCCTGTTTACAGAACTGGCATTAGATAAAACAGGGTCTAGAATCTCATTAAACTTCTTTAGAGGAGTTCAGTGATTTTCTTCTATAAAGACTAGTGCTTGCTTTCAAATAGGTCTGTAAGCAGAAGTGTGTGATCCAACTATTCTGCTTTTGAAATGTAGAACTGAAAAAAACAGCAGTTACAAGCAGATCATCAGAAGTGAAGGCGAAAAACAAAATGCTGGCCTTCCAACTTCAGTGGGCAGCAAAATCCTTGGAAAAAACAGCAGATTTTATAACAGACTAGAAAACATAATCATCATCTATTTCAAGGTGCAAGGACGAATCTAAACCCATAGATATGGTTTTAGGCTGGATGATCATTCAGGTTGGCTTCATAAAGTAAAGGTCCATTGAGACATATTTCCAGTCACCTTTTATAACCTGAAAAAAACACTTACAAGTGCAGTGTGGTACAAAAAAAATGGGAAATTAAAGGAGATAAAGGAAAGTGAAAATGGCCACTCTCTCTTACTTTAATGGAACTGTTCTCATTGTACAGGCCAAGAGCATCCAAACAGTTACATTGGTTAGGCTTACATTTTTTTCTATATTTATTCAGACAGCCTTGATGTGTACCACATGCAAAGTCTGAGGGTCCTGAGGCTGCATTTTACTGTGCAGAATCATTAAGAAGCAGGGTTTTTGACATTGTATTGGGATCAATAACACCACCACCCTGGATGAACAATTGGCTATATTTAGTTCAATTTCACTTTCAGACTGCCTTATCTGAATAACATAACATGAGATGGCAAAGCTGCAAGCATAAGCAGCCAAAGTACAGTTTTCTAATACTCAGTACACTAAATGCTGTATCCTTAAAGTGAGCATATATACTATTTGAAGAAACATTCCTAGTGTAATACATATCTCAATCGTCACCACAGCATCTTCGAAACAAGAAAACTCATTTTGTATCAGAATGACTCCCTAACTTTTGTTAACAACACTGGTTGTCTGTTGTCAGAACACTGGTCTGTTTTACAGAACAACTAATTCAGAATTCATTGTCTCACTCCAGAAATAATAGAATTCTGATTTGGTAATTCCAAAATCCCAGTTGATGTGACAGTCTATTAGGAGTGTTTTGATAGAATTTGTCGAAGTTAATATTAATGTCTTTCATCATGTCATCATGATCCCTTTAGAGGACCACAAAAACATGCTCTCAACTGACTAAAACATGGGAAAAAAAACAAATGCATCTTCTATCAGCAATGTGCCTGCACTTTCTACTTGTTAAGATAAAATTAAAGAAATCAGTCTCTTAGGTCTTCCTGGACCTTTTTGAATTCAGAAGTTTCAATTTCAGTGGTGTTCTCAGCTAAAATTCCAGCATCAAGCAATAATACTGATGCAAATTTCTAAGCATAAGGGAAGGACTCATTTGTTTATGCTGGTATACCCCTAATTTGACCATATGTAAATTTTCCCTGTTTAGAAGACAGCCAAGAGAAAAGGATGCAATTAATTATACAACACATTTTAATTTAAATGAACTGGACAACATCACCTTGAGAGCACAGTCCAGCCACTTCAAGTACAGATTCCTATTATTACATGAGAGCTAAGACTTTATGACATTTCCTACAAATGCTAATTAGCTGGTAGGTTAGGGCCCTCAGTCATGTAGCACTTCATCAATCACAAAGCTTAAACTATTAAAGATGGAAACTGTAACATTTTACATGAAAAGTTATGTTGCAAGTCAAAGTAGAATATTATATTAGCCCCCTTTACATGGTGTTCTTTTATAATAGTCCTCACAAAAGAATTTCCCCAAGCTGTTGTCCTAATATGATCCAGGTCTACATCCTCTAAGCTGTTCCTGTCTCAACAGCTACTGTTTTCAACACTGAAACTCATACTTCTAAGTGTACATTTTTTTAAAAAATATCTACAGACTCCTAGAAGACAAAACACACCAGGTATAGCCACTGCGTCAAAGGGAAAATTTGGGAGCAAAAAAGGACATGAAAGAATCAACATTCAGTTCTGCACTTCTGCCCTTCAGCCTACAACTTGGCCATAATCATAGAATTTGCACATTCTGGTAAGAAATAAAGATTTCTGAGGTCTGCCCCTCTGCATGTTAAACTGACAGATATGAGGTGTAAGACTAGCTTTGCCAGGTTAAACAAAGCTATTAAAACAGCATACCCAACTTTACTGGCACTAAAATGGAACACTGGTGCCAAAGATTCTAAAAGAAATATTAAGTAATATTGCACCTCTGACATTGACATAAGTTTATTATTACTCCATGCCAATCTCCCTTGATCCAAATCTTCTAAATACATGAGGTTCCAGTACTGGGCCTCTCCTAAGCCTACCAGTTATACTGAATAATGTATTTGGTTTTCAATTTGGTCAAAAATTACATGAAAACCACTGCTTGGAAGCTCAATGCATCATTAGCTCATTATCTAGCCCATTATTTTTTCCTGCAACATGTTGCCTTATGTGTGTTTTATGCCATCCTGTGCAATTCACCACAGCTGTTTTATTGCCAGTGTTCTTGTTTCTTCCATACCTTTGGTAAGGAGACCTCAACAGAACCTGTCCTGTCTTTCAATCATAACAGCTATCCAGAAAGGAGAAGAAATAATTCCAACTTTGAAAAAGAGCTTTTCTGATTTCGGTTTGGTCTGCTTTGTATTTTTTAACATGGCAGATAACAGTAACAGACTCAAGAGAAATACTACAGAATTAGAAATTACATATTTCCAAGTTACATTTTCCTTCCTATTCAGTTTCAGGATGTTACTGACAGAAATATTTTTAAGCACTATGTACAAATTCTTCCTTCTTCAATGACTTGAATGCAACCATTAAAACAAATATTATTTTAGTCTGATTGAAGCACTTCAGGCTGCGTGGAGAGAGATGTAGCCATCTATCTTTCATCAATGAATGAAGGCACTAAAATAACTGGTTATTCAGAAGTAAATAAAAATGCGTGGGTATAAAATTTGGCCCTGCACAGAAATAATAAAATGGAGACAAGCATTATAATAATACAGTAAGAAGAATCTAATGCCTAGAGAGATCTTGGGAAGAAGAATTCCTTCACTTTCATGAGAGAAAGATGGCAACCTGGGCAGTGTCCGAAAGAAACTATATGTAGGCAGGACAGTCCACTGGAGGACTCAATAATTGTTTAATTGCAATCCATTCTTCTCTAAGGAAACCCAGTATTTATGAAGCATATTTACCAGAAGGAAAAAAAAATAATAAAAAAATATCCACTTCTAGCTCTGATTATGCAAGCAGTAGTTATCAGGATTTATCTGTCACATCGTATAAAGTTCACAAACATAATGTGTTTATAATTTAGGGCAGAGCGGTAGTGAAGCTGGAGCACAATCATTTTCATTAAGAAGCAGGTGCAAAAGAGGCAAGAGCATCTGCAGTCTGTAATAAAATAGCCGTGATGTATTAAAACCATAAATGGCATATTTGCAAATGGCATGTTGCATATTTCTGAGCACATCTCCATGACAGACAGTGCTGATAACTCTGTGACAAGTTATACTAATCTCATAATCTTGATTCCTGAATCCACATTCCTCCTACCGATCCATTTCCTGAAGATCTAAATATAGCAACTGTAAATTGTTGGTTTGGGGAAGGAAGGGAGGGAGGAGAGCAGTCTGGAATACTAACCATAAGAAAAGATACATTTTTTTTCTTCAAAATTCTCAAGTGATGTTGAAAAGCAATTAGCATTCAGCACAGGATAAAAGGCTTGCAGTTTGCTATCTTTACATTGCTAACAGGGCAAGTATTCAAAAATAAGATTAAACTGGATTCCAGTTTTGATAGGACTGACTTCTGGGTCTGCAAAAGCTAATCTTCTCAGTTTCTGGAAAATAAGGACTTGGCTTTTTAAAGACTGTATTTAACCAATTGCAGACAGAGGCACAGCTAGACCATGTGAACCCGATATGAATCCTAGAGGGAAACCAGAGTAACATGAACAACCTGCATAATAATAGAGAATAAGGAGCAGACATTCTTTCAGTGGCTGCAAAATGAGGGAAAAGAAATAGTAAAATATATTTGATGCCAGGAACTTTTTCTTACTTATCTGAGTACTAGCAAGTGCATCTATAGATATACAACAGTGATAGACGCCACACAGACAGAACATCCCTTGCTAGCATAAATATTTTTGAGTGTGAGAAAAAAAGATATGGCAAATAAACACTACTACTGTATGCAGAACCCTTGCAGAGCTGCCTTTCCAGGAAATTCCCTTCCCACCCCCTACAATGGAAACTATAATTATTAAATCCAACTTTCCAAAGAGAAAGAAATTGACTAAATTATTGAAAAAAATAGAAATCAGACTCAAGGGGGTCTGGAGAGACCCTCCCTTCTTAATGTCTTTAGCTCACAGGAAAAGTAGAAAATCAACGTAATTTAGGTTCCTTCTCCACTTCCCTCCTCCCTTTCCTCCCCCAAAAAAATCTTTAAAGAAGAATGCAGAATCCTAATCTTTTAGCAGTTGCACACATTTTATTTACATTATTTGGAAAGAATAGCAATCATTGTCAGTTAGGATATGGCAATCCCTCATGTCGAGGAATAAGTTTTGTCATAATTTTTTGGGCTTACATTGAACTCCAATAATTTTGTGGTAACTGCAGCATGATATATTTTTGTGACGTGATATGATGAAGACATAATACCACGGAAATACACATTTTATATTAGAGAACTACTTGATTATTACAGACTTAATCATTGTATTTTTTTTTAATGTATTAAAAGTCATGTGCCATAAGAAATAAGTCTATTCCCTTTAAATGTTCTTCAAAAGTTTTACAACATATCCTTTCATCAATGATCTTACCTTTTTTTGAAGGACATTAATTTTTCTTTCTTTTACTTCCAACATGTCTTTCATATCCCGAATCTCTCCGGCCAGGGTTCCCTTCTCTTCTGTGAGGTCTTGAAGTTGTTTTGTTTTTTTATTCAGAAAGGTTTCTTTTTCTTCTAAACGTAACCGCAAGGCATCCACCTACAGTAAGTAAATCAAATGTATTTAGGTTTGAGTAAAGATTATTAGCATATTTTATTTACTTTTTTTCCAATTTCCTTTTTTTGTCACTTCAGGAAAGTTTTATTTCTTTTCTATGTATATTTGACAACTTTATCTCTAAGAGATTCTTTTACATGTTAAAATGTAATTAAGAAATGAAAGCACTTTTAGCACCAAAGCAGGAATAGAAAGAGTAAAGTACTCAAAACATGAAGTAGCATTAAAACAGCCCTAGCTGGACATATGCATAAAGGATTCAAAAAAACATCATCTTGACTTATTAAATATATGACTCACTGACAATAGTGTTCTGTATCCTGTACTTAATTTCTCCACAAAGTTGGCAATTGGATACTAAAGTTACTGCACAGGTTTGGGCACAGATTAGTAATCTAGAAACAGAATTATTCAACCAATACATGGCAACTAGGGAAACCATAAGGTTATTCACTTTCCTACAGTGTATAGTGCAGAGGTCTTTTAACAAATGGGCCTTACTGTAATTTTCTGTATTTAAGCACAAATCCCTGGCAACTAGAAGAAGGGATATGCCAAGGATTTTCCTAAGGAGAGATGTCTTAATAAAGAATGTCACCAAATTTTTCTACATAACTTTTTTTTTTTTTTTCCTCTAGAAACCCCAAAAAGAAAGAAAAAAAAAAAAAAAAAAGCATTCTAAGAGCCCAGAAGGTGTTGGTAACCTTGGTTTTCTCATTTTTTGCTGTATAAATGCTCAAGAATACAATTTTATTACTTTCTTAATGCAGTTCAAACAGTTCTCAAATTACAGTCAGGCAAATACTGGCTTATGGTCTGGAAAAAATCTGTAGATCACTTGATACTGGTTACTATTTGTATACAGTTATTTCAATAAGTAGCTCTACTACTAATTGAAATTAAAAGCATGGTTACTCATAAAAGCATTTGGAAATAAGGAGGAAAAATAGCTGTTTGTCCTTCATTACAATGAGGGGGAGGGGACACAGCAGCCACCTTCAAGGACAGCAGCATATATATTATCATCAAAAGAGAGAAAAACATTTGGTGAAACAAAGAGCGAAGTGCCAAGTAAAAGGAAAACCTAAACGTACCTGATTTAAGGGTACCTGGTGGAGGAAATGGAGGGAAAAGGAAGGATCTGGCTCTTTGGGGAGTATAATAAGAAACAGGAAAGAATGCACGATGGAAATAGAGACATGGCCACAGCAGTAACCATATGCCCATGGATCCAAGTGGAAACACACAAAAATTGTCAAAAATGAGGAATAAATAAAGACCTCAACAGGAAAGCAACTTTTTCTAAGGAGATTTTATAATCCTACTTCACAGCTTCAAATTCCTAGTACCTTTTTTGGTAATACCTTTCTACTTAAGCACTGCCTACAGTAGTTACCCCACAAGGTAAGGTAAGATTCCAAATGGAAAAGGTGATACTCCACATGGAGAAGAGGAGAGGAAACAGTCACTGTCAAGATACTGACTGATACAATCTTTGAGAACGTCTAATATTCTAGTCAGACTGTTGGCTCTCAAGAACTTTCAAAAAGGTATTAAAAATAATAGGTGTTGTCACAACTTCCTTTAATTAAACTGAAATAATAGAATGGATTAAAACAAATAAGTGATCTGATGTTGGAGGTGACAACACAAGGTGAAAGAGCAAGTGCTTTTTTCCAGGAGAGCTGGAAAAAGACATTTTGCAAGTTTTAATGGTGAAGCTTTTATGTAGTAGGAAAGAAAAAGACAGTTACGAATCAATACTATAATCATTCAAGAATATAAAGATACTGCCTGTGGACTGTAGGAAATTCAAAATAGGATGCATGTAATCTTTGCTGACCTTGATAATATGCAAAATGAAAAATTATTCATTTCACTAAAACAGAAAAAACAAGTAACATTATTCCTACATGAACGTTTAGAAAAGTGTATGGAAAAGTGGGCTAAGTTGAACAGACAAAGAAGATTTGTAAGGGAGAAAAAAAAATTAATTAAGCTGAATTGGAATGTATGTCTCTAGATTTAAATATTTATCAGTTTATTTGTCTAACCTTAAATACACTGGAAGAGCTGGGGGGTGAAACTCAATTCACTAATGCCAAAGAAAGAATCCATCATGTGAATTCTACTCCTAATACCTTGGTAATTAAAGGTATTTTTGTAATAAAATAGTAGACAACTCAATTCATTAAAGCAACAGAATATGTCTGGGCTTAACCATCAGTACTGTCAGAATTGCACCTTACATGCACCAGTCCCTTCACTGAACACTTTCAATAAATCATACCTTTTTCCATGTTCTGGCTCAGAAATTCAGTTACAAATTAATCACTGAGCAGCTCACAGGCAACACAGCATAGAATACTGGGTGGGAATATTTTGGGGTAAAAAACAGATTTAATTATATATAAAGTTTATAAAGACCAAAAGAGATGTGTTTGGTTGTGCTTGGTTTTTTTTCTAATGTGAGCCTCAAAGGCTAATTTTTAAATAAAATAACACCAGAAAATATAGTATACCCATGAAATTTTAAACATCGTAAAGAGATCAACAAAACCAACATGCTGTTAAGCAGTATGGATTCAATTCTGCATTCCTTGTACAGTCTCAAACTCCCACATTCAAGCCTGGTGTACAGAAATAAAGGAGTTTATTCTTAGTGAAATATTTCCGTTTTCCAGAAGGCTGGTTAACACATCGAAACTTAAATTCCAAGAGAGGAGAAACTAAAAATACTGCTGTAGACCTCCTTCTGCATTTGCCCTTCCGCTCCACCCAGAGAAAGCAAGAAACCATGCAGCACAGAAAGCACACCGAGGTGGCAGCGTGGGCATGGAGATCCTTTGCAAGGCTTGCAAGCCATTAGAATGACATTAAAGTACCATGCAAAGTAGAGAACCAAGACAAAGCGAGTGCAATCATTTGTTATTACAAAGACAGGTTTCCTTGAATAGAGGCCATTTTTCTGATACTGTTTTCTTCTGCAGCTCTGAAACTATGAGGTGTTCACATTAAGTGGACCCACAAAGGCTTGTTTTGGCTGCAAGGTACACCACTGAGAAGACAAGCTTTGGACTGAAAATATATGATGTGGCAATCTAGAGTAATTCTCCATCCACAAGAGGGCTGCAGGAAGTCAGGGAAGTAAGAAATTTTAGATTCACTGATCCAAAGTTCAAGCACAAATGTCAGAATATAAAGAACTAGGGTTTAAATTTTACATTACCCACAAATTCATAAAGTTTATTCATAATAAAAGGCTAAATAAAAGTAATTGAAAGGGCATAAATGCTAGTTTAGCATTTTTAAATTATGCAGTTGGAATAGTTAGAAAGGGTCATAAGTATTAAGCACTTCTTTCCTGGTTAATTAGACTATTAATGAAGTAGAAAACAATCAGCAAATCAAATTTATTTTTATTTATATTCTGAGTTCTGTAATGCTAAATTTATTTGAAGCAAAAGGTTTTGCAATGCCATTTTAAAACTTGGTTTGGGACCAATTTAGATGATCTATTGGATCTTGAAATGCATGTTCTTCCTGCTCTTAAAATGGCTCATTGCTTTTCTATATACTGAAAAAAAGATTTATACTCTCCTGGATCTATTTTATATTTAATACTTTTTTGCAATATTGCAGTAATAGAATCTTGCCGTTTGTAAGCAGTGTGCAGTATGAGATACAAAGATTATTTTTTAAGTTAGAGAACAAGAAATAGTACTAGTAGCAAATGTAATAAACACAAAAGACCTCATGTGAAATTCATTACCACATCTTCTTTAAACTTAATCACTTATTTGCTTAATGTCTGAAAGCAACCCCATAAGTCAAATCACAGAAATCTCTGTTGGACCTTTAGGCTGCAGCTGAGAAGCTCGTTGTAACACCACAGCAGAAGCTCCAGAAGGGCTTCTCTTCAGTCCAGGACTACGAGTCACATTTTCCAAGTGCCACCAGGCAGAAGCTTAATGCTTGAACTCAAAGGGAGATGAAGGTGATTAGACCCACAGGTAAACAAAGCACTGATACCATTCCCTACTGACTGGGATAACACAACAGCTTACACATGTGCTGATACAGTTCTGTTCGGCTTGGCTGGACCAGGCAGTTTCTGAGTCAATAGTCTTTTCTTCTCTACTCACCCAGTCACCACCCTAAGGGCTGAGCAGACAATTCTCCCTCTTCTTCACAGATTTCTTCCCACACCCTCTGTCATCACAGCTCACTAGGTTCAACATGGGAATAGGAATTTTAGGCATTAAAACTTAGGAGCCCAAGATGGAGAGCTGAGAGGAGGAGTACACTGCTCTGAAGTCCAAGTCTAAGAGTGACAACCTGTGTAGGAAAGGAGAGCAGAGTCCTGTCCACTCCAGGTTTTTCAGACCTCAGTCCTGCTCTCACACAGCCATTAGTTAAAGAGCACCACATGACTGAACATTTCTGCATTTCCTTTCATGACCGGCCAGCTCACAGCACAACTAATAGGATATTGCTACTGCCTAAACAAATTCAACCTGGAGGAACAAGAGAAGGTGCACAATGGTGGGTTTTTTCACACCATAAAGAAACACAGAACTCTGCAGCAAAGCTGCAGTCTCATCTTTCTTTTCACTGGTTAACATTCAGGCGAGCCACACATAAACCTTTAAGTTAGCACAAGGGTTATGACCTTCACTGTGCCACAGAGTATCAGGCACCTAGTATTTCAGAGTTGCCTGGACTGGCTCTAAATGCAGAAACAGATTATTTCCTTGTTAATGCCATAAATAGATTACTCCACACATCTTCGTGTAAATAATCAACACCTTAGATCAATTCCTTCCACTCCATGGTACCTTTTTAGCACTTATAACACTCATTGCATTCTTCCATAAGAAGAAACACGTGGAGTTAAGATCTGGATATATTTAGATGTATGTGGTGTTAACTTCTGTCTAGAACAGTGTCTCCTACCCCTATACCTCACTCTCTGACATGTG